TTTCTGATTTTTTTCCTTTCTTAAAACTCAGTAGTCATATCGCTATTCTTAATCATATTCGCGCGACAAATAATCAACAACTATGATTAAAAGTAGCGAACTTTTTTAATCCACAATGCACTTTTCTTAATATAAAATGCTATAGTTTCCTTTTTCTACCATAATTTTTTCGTTAATATTATTTTATATGTAGGTTCTTCTTCCTCTTTTTTTATGCCATCACCTGTAATTTCATAATATATATAGTATGCATATCTTTCTAGATAGGAAGTCAATAAAACATTTATTGTTGCTATGCGTATATGCATGAAACCACTTGTATTCTGTATGTGATAAAATATTCTAAAAATAATATGACACTTGAAGAATACAGTCAATATATATAGGGTTAATTATTATTTATGAAAAACTATATTATTCACTCTTTGGTTTTTTCTTACACGATTTTGTTTCGAGTTATTTATGTACATGATGCAAAAAAGTATAGGAAGTTAATAAGTCTACCTACATATAAATTTGCTAGCATATCAATTTAAACTTGCCTTTTTTTTCTTTTGACGAAGCAGTGACATTTAGATTAAGTTTTTCCAAATTAAAAATTTTGCAAACATGAAATACTTTTTAAGTTAATTTCAAACATTAATATTGAAAAAGATTACGTCATCTAATTCATCATCATTGATAAAAATTTGGAAGAAATTTCTTATTTCTCCCGCCACTACCCACATCAGATAGATCACCGAAAATATTTGTAAGACATCAAAACGAATAAATTATTAATTACCCAAAAAAATATCTTTTCGTCTCTTTTTTCATGAATTCTAACCATTGAAGATAAACTTTTTTTCCCAGGTGGCAAGCGAAGTTGGAAACTGTGGGTTTACGACTAGGGCTAGTAGGCAACATTTGCTGTGCTTTTCTCTTTTTCCCAGTGACTCGAGGCTCCTCGCTTCTGCCTCTCGTCGGTCTTACTTCAGAGGCCAGCGTCAAGTATCACATTTGGCTCGGCCACATCGTTATGGTCCTCTTTACCTCCCACGGCCTCTGTTACGTTATCACATGGATTTCTACGAACCATGCTTCCATGGTACGTACATAAAAACAATCATTTTAAAAATAAAAAAAATAAATGTTCTGAGAAGTCACTAGATATGATAGTTGTTATAGCTCATCTAGTAAGATAAGTCACTAAATAAATAGAAGTATACTATGGTCATGTAAGTTTTGCGTATGCCTATTAATTACAAGCTAAAGGTAATTAATGATATTTCTCCTGAAATTAATCACTAACCACTCAACAACCCCACCAGGAGATATTCCTTCAACAATGTAAGGTTGTTGATATCATGGGGTTGATTTGGTCTGCCTTCAATTCCGACAGAGTCAAAATAACATTTTGGTTATCATGCAAAAAAATAGGGAGTTGAAAAGTACATATTTGAAGATAATTAAACGGTTAGCAAAGAGAATACAATTTTAGTTTATCTGTTTTTGTATCCATTTACTTCAAAAGTAGAAGGTAAAACATTGATGTTGTATTCTCCACACTTCAATGACCTTTTCTCGGCCAAGTAAAAAAAGAAAAGAAAATAGAATTACCGTCCAAATTTTGACACACTTTTCCTTGACTGTCAACTATTAAAAAAAAATTCAGTAAAATGAACTACCACTATGTAAATATCCAATTTTTTTTCTGTTCTTTTAATTATTATACTCCCTAGGCTTGAAAATTGTTCTCACCACAGATGCTAGAATGGGCTACAGACGAGATAGCAAACTTGGCCGGCGAGATTGCTCTCCTCTCTGGTCTGCTCATGTGGGTCACCACTTTTCCTCGTATCCGACGCAAGATGTTCGAGTTTTTCTTCTACACTCATCAGCTCTACGTGGTCTTCTTACTCTTCTACTTGTTCCATGTGGGCATGTCTTTCTACTGCATGATTCTCCCCGGTGTCTACCTCTTCATGGTCGACCGCTACTTGAGATTCTTGCAGTCTCGGCGAAACGTTTGCCTTATTTCAGCTCGCCTCTTGCCGTCAGAAACCATTGAGCTCAACTTCTCCAAGAGCCCAGGTGATTTTCTCTCCTCTCCTCTCCTCTAATTAAGCCAAATTTTTTACATGATTAACTACTCTTTGTTATTAACTTACTTAACATATTGTTTTGGATACTGCAGCATGTAGCTACACGCCGATGAGTACCGTGTTCATCAATGTTCCGAGCATATCGTCTCTTCAGTGGCACCCGTTTACGATTAATTCTAGTAGTAATTTTGAGCCAGAGAAACTAAGCATAATCATCAAGAAAGAAGGAAGCTGGACTCAGCAATTGTATCAGAAGCTTAATCTGCCATCCCTGGAACGTCTTGATGTTTCCGTGGAGGGGCCATATGGTCCTGCTTCTGTAGACTTTTTAAGGTATGACGTACTTTGTACTCGATCTAACTGCATATCATATTAAGAACTCAGGAAAAATTATTGTTGCTCCCTAAGTTGAAGCTTTAGTTATTTATTTTTCATTATTAACTTTTATTTTTCACAGAAAAATAGGGCTAGGAGCCCTATTCAAAATCCTATTAATACGAACGTAGTTCATCTAAGTGAAACAAAGGAATCAGATGGAGCATAAGATTGCCAGACAGATCATAGGGAGGTCATTCACTTTATTCGTCACATATACTGATGACAGTTTGATTCTCTTATGCTATTGATTCTAAATTCCTCTTAGATGGGCATTCAAAACATCACAACCTTAATTTTTAAAGATCAACAGCAAAAAAGAAACAAAACAAAAGTTTTTGCTGAAATAGACACAACTAGATACCGATCAGAAGTTATCTGCAACTGCAGGCGTATCTTCTCCATTGAGGAAGCTTAGTATTCTTAAGCTTATAAAGTTTCAAGATTTATTCAAGAGAACAAATGCATGATTATTAAGCACATAAGACAAGTGTAAATATCGCACAAAAGAGCATCACAAAGGCAAACTAAATATGTATCTTTTAACGAACACAGTCATATTAATGGCTAGATATTATTTTGAATAACAACCATATTAAATAGATATAACAATGATTTTTTTTTTCTTTTTGGCATAATCGTAGCACATTAAGAAAAAGCTAGGAAACAACTCATAATTTATTGCAATAATGACAACCATATTAAATAGATATAACCATATTTTTAAACATGACTGACACACATACTCAATAGTTTACAGAATACTTTATTTTGTGTTGAGTAACCACTCAAAAAGCCGGGTCTGAACTGACCCTAGCTAGCAACTGCTGGATAACAGGTTTCTAATATGTTTTCTAATTTGTTTTGGTAATAAGTTATTGAGATTCCTAGCTAATCTGTTTTGGTAGCATGATTCCAAATCTGTTTTGGTAACATGTTATTAGGATTTCTAATCTGTTTTGTTTTTTGTTTTAGAATTCCTAGTATGTTTATGATTTTAGGATTTTTATATATATGAAACAATTGGAAGAGAGAATTGAGAAGAAAATTGGGGATATTTGGAGCACAGAAAAGAGGTATTTTATGAGCTATTGGTTAGGGTTTTGTTTGGAGAGAATTAGAGATTTGTTTGTGAGATTAATTGGTGAGTTTGAGTGATTTATAATCTCAATTTGTACTCTTCTTCTCTATTAGTAAAAAACTCTATCCTCTTCTTGCCCCGTGAATGTAGGCAACTTGTCGAACCACGTTAAAATTAGTTGTTTGTATTTGTGGCATTGATTTTGTTCGTTTGGCCTTCTCTCGACGTTCGTTTGATTTGATTTCTCGTAGCACGTTGGTTTGGTTATTTGACTTCCGCAGCGCTCAACAAGTGGTATCAGAGCTTGGGTTACGTTTGGGCTATTTGGAGGAGTAGGTCATTTTGGAGGCTCTCCTAGAGCTTCGCTTCGTGATAAATATGAGATCTTTTTGGTAAAGACTCTATCTTTTTAGTTTTAGATCTATTCTTTATTTGTTTCATATTTGCTTTGGTGTATTGAGAAAGATGGTCGGGAAAGAAGGAGTTATGGATGGTACTTCCGGCGTGAAAACTATCCAAAGTTTGAATATCCACTCTATGAAGATAGATGTGGAGAAGTTTAATGGCACAAACAATTTTGATCTTTGAAGATGAGAAGTCTTGGTTGCGCTCAATGCGCAAAATTTGAACGATACTTTGGAGTTGGACAGAAACCGGATGACATTGAGGAGAAGGTTTCGATAAAGATGAATAGAACGGTGCGTGGTGTGATTAGATTTTGTTTGACTCAAGATTTAAAATATGATGTGATCAATAAGACTTCAGCTAAGAAGATTTGGAAGATCCTAGAGGACAAGTATTTTACCAAGAGTATAGAGAACCGCTTGTATTTGAAGAGGAGATTTTATCGTTTCCAATTGAAGAAGGGGACCTCAATTCATGATCACATGAACCACTACATGAAGCTTCTTGCTGATTTGACCAATGTAGATGTGATGATTGAAGATGAGGACAAGTCGTTGTTGTTGTTGAGTTCCTTACCTAACGAACAATATGAGACCTTCATTCTTACTCTTATTAATGGCAAGGCATCTCTTACTTATAGTGAGCTCACCGCTGCACTTGTGAATTATCAGCTTCAAAAGAAAGATTAGGAGACTTCAGTTGAGCCGGTAGCGGGAGCATGCTGCACTTGTGAATTATCAGCTTCAAAAGAAAGATTAGGAGACTTCAGTTGAGCCGGTAGCGGGAGCATTGACCGCAAGAGTAAAGAGTCCAAAAAAAGAAAGATTAGGAGACTTCAGTTGAGCCGGTAGCGGGAGCATTGACCGCAAGAGTAAAGAGTCCAAGCTGTGGTAGGAGATCGCAGTCTAGAGGGGCACATCTTAAAGTTCGTAGGAATCAGTGTGCCTTTTGTAAAGAGAATGGACATTAATAAGTCGAATGCCTAAAGTTGGTTGATCGAGCCGGAAAGAATAAAGGGAAAGCTATTCAAGCTTCAGAGGTGAATGTTATCAAGGCTAATGGTAATAATTCAGATTCGTTTTCTTTGGGCTACTCGATATCTGCACTACCGTCAGTTTGTATTGCTAACTCTACAGAGTGGATGTTAGATTTGGGTGGTTTTTACCATATTTACCCTAGGAGGATTGGTTCTCTAGCTTTCAGGATTTAAAAAGATGGGAGGTCGTGCTCATGGGTAATGATCATGAATGTCTTATTAGTGGTACCAGTACCGTTCGGTTTAGGATGAGTGACGGAGTAATTCGGGAGTTAGTTAGAGTGAGGTTCGTTCCTCAGTTGAAGAAAAATATCATTTCACTTGGAGTTTTGGAGGCAGCAGACTATAGAGTAACATTGGTCGATTCACGTTTGAAGGTCACATTAGGGTCCATGATTGTGATGAAGGCGTCAGGAGGATTGATTTATATTATTTGATTGGGAGCATGGTGTTTGATAGAGAGCTGACGAGTTCTTTGGATTTGGTTAGACTGTGACATTTGTTGAGGCTGAGTTATTTGATTGGTTATACCGTGCATGGTGTGTTAAGGAGTGCTTTGACCTGTAGATTGAAGTCATTTGAGCACATTGGTATGAGCAAGAAGACCGAGATAGAGTTTGGCACTTCTATTCATCGATCGAGGGGTTTTTTAGGTGGTGTCCAGTTAGGTATTTCGGGCCTTCCAAAGAGGCAACATTAGGAGGTAATCGGTATTTGGTTTCTGTAGTTAGGAATTATTCTAGGTATTGGTGGGTTACAACCAGGTCCCATTGGTGTGAAGTCCTAAAAGTCAACAACAATTAGAAGAAATGTATTGGCAGAAAGGTAACCTGTCGTTCTAGCTTTGGTAGGGGTTCTTTCTTGCATTTGTACTAAGCTCATGACAGTTTGAGACACTTTATTGATGTGGAGACATTGGGGTGACGAGATGAGATGATAGTTTGAATGGGTCATTCCTTACTGGAGGGGATCGATGTTGGTTGTCGAGGATTGGTTTTGATTTTGGAGCTTCGACATATTTGGGTCATCTTAGTCATAAGTTGCCGATTGTTGCGTGTAGAGATTTTGGATCTGGTGCAGCTGCTTCAGATTTTGGGTTACGTCGGATATTTGGTTGCCCAGTATTTGATAACATTGAGGATGTGAGATTTGATCTGATTGCACGTTTGGGATTTAGAGGTTCGTTTGATTATCAGTTAGGAGCTTCTGATTTTGTTCTGAGCAGGTATGTCACATTTGACTCTCGGCAGGTGGAGATTTTTGATCAGATCATTAAGATATCACAGCGACTGGAGGGTGATGCTACTTCACATTAGGTGGAGATTACTCCACATACTCTAGATCATACTACATCGTTTGGGATTCTAGCTAAGGTGACATAGTTTGGAGATCATTTAGATTTGGATGCAGATGATGAGTTGGTTTTGGATTCGAGTGCAGCTGGTGAACATATATTAGATACTGCCATTGGTTCACCTCAGGTGGAGGTGTTTGATTTGTTTCAGTTTGGGGTCATTGGGAGCGCTATCAGTTACAGATCCGTTGGTGATATTGGTAAAGAGTTGTAAACTTTTCTATTTGATTAAGGATCTTTGGAGGCTATTTGGGTGAACTGCGTGAATGTTTGATTCCTTAAGCAAGAGGATACGCAGACAGTCACTTATGATGCAGTCGGTTTGGTGAGTTGATACCGTCATTTAGAGTTTGTTCGCATTCTCGTTTGGGTTCTCGACTTGTTGTGGATTGAGTTTGTTGTCGTGGATTTGTTCCACTTCGTACTGGACGCAACAAGTGAGACGTTTGGTTGGTATTGGTGTTGGCTTAGTTTTGGGAAAACTTCACCGAGATGGAGAATTATTGGATAGCAGGTTCCTAATATGTTTTCTAATTTGTTTTGGTAACAGGTTATTGGGATTCTTCATCTATTTTGGTAACATGATTCTAAATCTGTTTTGGTAACAGGTTATTAGGATTCTTAATCTGTTTTGTTTTTTGTTTTGGAATTCCTAGTATGTTTATGATTTTAGGATTTTTATATATATGGAACAATTGGAATGAGAGAATTGAGAAGAAAATTAGGGATATTTGAAGCACAGAAAAGATGTATTTTCTGAGCTATTGGTTAGGGTTTTGTTTGGAGAGAATTAGAGATTTGTTGGTGAGATTAATTAGTGAGTTTGAGTGATTTGTAATCTCAATTTGTACTCTCCTTCTCTATTAGTAAAAAACCCTATCATCTTCTTGCCCTGTGGACGTAGGCAACTTGTCAAACCACGTTAAAATTAGTTGTTTGTACTTATGGCATTGATTTGGTTCGTTTGGCCTTCTCTCGACGTTCGTTTGATTTGATTTCTCATAGCACGTTGGTTTGGTTGTTTGACTTCCGCAGCGCTCAACAAGTGGTATCAGAGCTCGGGTTATGTTTGAGCTATTTGGAAGAGTAGGTCATTTTGGAGGCTCTCCTAGGGCTTCGTTTCGTGATAAATATGAGATCTTTTTGGTAAAGACTCTATCTTTTTAGTTTTAGATCTATTCTTTATTTGTTCCACATTTGTTTAGGTGTATTGAGAAAGATGGTCGGGAAAGAAGGAGTTATGGATGGTACTTCCGGCGTGAAGACCATCCAAAGTTTAAATATCCACTCTATGAAGATAGATGTGGAGAAGTTTAATGGCACAAACAATTTTGGTCTTTGAAGATGAGAAGTCTTGGATGCGCTCAATGCGCAAAATTTGAACGATACTTTGGAGTTGGACGGAAACCGGATGACATTGAGGGAGAAGGTTTCGATAAAGATGAATAGAATAGTGTGTGGTGTGATTAGATCTTGTTTGACTCAAGATTTAAAATATGATGTGATCAATAAGACTTCAGCTAAGAAGATTTGGAAGATCCTAGAGGACAAGTATTTGACCAAAAGTATAGAGAACCGCTTACATTTAAAGAGGAGATTTTATCGTTTCCAATTGAAGAAGGGGGCCTCAATTGATGATCACATGAACCACTACACGAAGCTTTTTGCGGATTTGGCGAATGTAGATGTGATGATTGAAGATGAGGACAAGGCGTTGTTGTTGTTGAGTTCCTTACCTAACGAGCAATATGAGACCTTCATTCTTACTCTTATTAATGGCAAGGCATCTCTTACTTATAATGAGCTCACTGCTGCACTTGTGAATTATCAGCTTCAAAAGAAAGATTAGGAGACTTCAGTTGAGCCGGTAGCGGGAGCATTGACCGCAAGAGTAAAGAGTCCAAACCGTGGTAGGAGATCGCAATCTAAAGGGGCACATCTTGAAGTTCGTAGGAATCAGTGTGTCTTTTGTAAAGAGAATGGCAACATTAGGAGGTAATCGATATTTGGTTTCTACAGTTTGGAATTATTCTAGGTATTGGTGGGTTACAACCAGGTCCCTTTGGTGTGAAGTCCTAAAAGTCAACAACAATTAGAAGAAATGTATTGGCAGAAAGATAACCTGTCGTTCTAGCTTTGGTAAGGGTTCTTTCTTGCATTTGTACCGAGCTCATGATAGTTTGAGACACTTTATTGATGTGGAGACATTAGGGCGACGAGATGAGATGATAGTTTGAATGGGTCATTTCTTACTGGAGGGGGATCGATGTTGGTTGTCGAGGATTGGTTTTGATTTTGGAGCTTCAACATATTTGGGTCATCTTGGTCATAAGTTGCTGACTGCTGCGTGTGGAGATTTTGGATCTGGTAGAGCTGCTTCAGATTTTGGGTTACGTCGGATATTTGGTTGCCCAGTATTTGATAACATTGAGGATGTGAGATTTGATCTGATTGCACGTTTGGGATTCAGAGGTTCGTTTGATTATCAGTTAGGAGCTTCTGATTTTGTTCTGAGCAGGTATGTCATAATTGACTCTCAGCAGGTGGAGATTTTTGATCAGATTATTGAGATATCGCAGCGGGTGGATGGTGATACTTCTTCACATTAGGTGGAGATTACTCTACATACTCCAAATCATACTGCATCGTTTGAGATTCTAGCTGAGGTGACACTGTTTGGAGATCATTTGGATTTGGATGCAGATGATGAGTTGGTTTTGGATTCGAGTGCAGCTGGTGGACATATTTTAGATACGGCCATTGGTTCACCAAAGGTAGAGGTGTTTGAATTGTTTCAGTTTGGGGTCATTGGGAGCGCTATCAGTTACAGATCTGTTTGTGATATTGGTGAAGAGTTGTAAACTTTTCTATTTGATTAAGGATCTTTGGAGGCCATTTGGGTGAACTACGTGAATGTTTGATTCCTTAGGCAAGAGGATACGCAGACAGTCATTTATGATGCAGTCGGTTTGGTGAGTTGATACCGTCATTTAGAGTTTGTTCGCATCCTCGTTTGGGTTCTCGACTTATTGTGGATTGAGTTCGTTGTCGTGGATTTGTTCCACTTCATACTGGACGCAACAAGTGAGACATTTGGTTGGTATTGGTGTTGGCTTAGTTTTAGGAAAACTTCACCAAGGTGGAGAATTATTGGATAGCAGGTTCCTAATATGTTTTCTAATTTGTTTTGGTAACAGGTTATTGGGATTCTTAATCTATTTTGGTAACATGATTCCAAATCTGTTTTGTAACAGGTTATTAGGATTCTTAATCTGTTTTGTTTTTTGTTTTAGAATTCCTAGTATGTTTATGATTTTGGGATTTTTATATATATGGAATAATTGGAAGAGAGAATTAAGAAGAAAATTAGGAATATTTGGAGCACAGAAACGAGGTATTTTCTGAGCTATTGGTTAGTGTTTTGTTTGGAGAGAATTAGAGATTTATTGGTGAGATTAATTGGTGAGTTTGAGTGATTTGTAATCTCAGTTTGTACTCTTCTTCTCTATTAGTGAAAAACCCTATCATCTTCTTGCCCCGTGCACGTAGGCAACTTGCCGAACTATGTTAAAATTGGTTGTTTGTATTTGTGACATTGATTTGGTTCTTTTGGCCTTCTCTCGACGTTCCTTTGATTTGATTTCTCGTAGCACGTTGGTTTGGTTGTTTGGCTTCCGCAGCGTATAACAGCAACCTCAGACACAAAAGTAGGAGAAAATAAACGCATTCATTAGATTAGTTATACGCAGGCATGACTAACGTGATCTTTTCGACAGGCATGATGCTCTAGTAATGGTGAGTGGCGGCAGTGGGATAACCCCCTTCATCTCCATCATCCGCGAGCTCATGCACCATAGCACGACCTTGGACGTACCAACCCCGACCGTCCTCCTCATCTGCTGTTTCAAGACCTCGTCGGACCTCACAATGCTCGACCTCCTGCTCCCCATCTCTGCCCCTTCCTCCGACCTCCTCTCCAAACTCCCCCTCCAAATCCAAGCCTTCGTCACCAGAGAAACCTCCCCCTCCCCCGACACCCAACGAAAGCCCATCCTAACCCTCTGGTTCAAGCCCCACCCCTCCGACTTCCCCATCTCCCCCGTCCTCGGCCCCAACTCCTATCTCTGGCTCGCTTCCATAATATCCTCCTCCTTCGCCGCCTTCCTTCTGCTCATCAGCATCTTGACTCGATACTACATCTACCCTATCGAGAGCACGGGCACAACCTACCCTCTCATGTCACAGGCCCTGTTGAACTTGCTATTCGTTTGTGCGTGCATCGCTGCAGCGTCCAGTGGCGTGGTGCTGTGGAACAAGAAGAGGAGCAGCATGGAGGTGAAGCAAGTGCGGGGATTGGTCAGCGAGATGAGGCCACAATCGTCACCGCGCTCTTGGTTCTGTAACGGGGATCGGGAGTTTGAGAGTTTGCCGAGTGAGTCCCTTGCGCAGGCTACTACAGTTCATTACGGCAAAAGGCCTGATCTCAAGGGTAAGAATCTCAATTTATGTGCCGATTTGAATTAAAGAGGATTGAAACAGGATTTATTAACCTTACCTCTTATTTTTCTTTTTCTTTTTGTTTTAATGCAGAGATGATTTTGGGCGCAGAGGGATCCAGCGTAGGCGTGATGGCGAGTGGTCCCAGTGGACTGCGTCGACAGGTTGCGGGCATTTGTGCGGCGTCGAAAGATGAGAATGTGCATTTCGAATCGATAAGCTTTACCTGGTGATTTGTTGTCGGAAATATGAGTGTTTGGATGTGGATTTTGTTTCTCCGCGTGCGGTGTCATTAGTATGTAAATAGTTAAGGTTATATGCTGCTAGAAATGAACTTGTAAAATACCAATGTGGCTAATGCCTTTCGAAATTTTGGTATTGTCATGAAATCTTATAATAGTACTGATCCTAAAACCATAATTTTGATATTTAGTCATAATTATAATTTCCCTTGAAGTTTGATATAAGGTGATGGATTTCATGCATCGTAATAATTTTGATATGCTAATCTATTTTCTACATCATAAAGATTTTCTGCACTTTGATTTCCTATAACTCTCAATGGAGGAAATGCGCTGATTTGTGCGGCATTTATATTGCAAGTGCATGCTTGTAGTCACTAGGAATCATTGGATCTTGAGAAATATTCTCAGAGGAACGCAATCTACTACTAGTAAGGACAATGCTATTTCATGCATGGATCACATCAAGAGAAGTTTTCCTTCGGCTAAAAAAATCAATTTTAGTTAAATAATAGTAATCCATATATAGTAATTTCACTCCAACATACTCTTTTGAGCATGTGATTCTAAGTAAGTTAGACATGTCCAAGTTGAAAAATAATTTATGTGTTTTGGGTGAGAAAATATTCATTGAGAAGTTGTCAGAGTTAAGTTGTTGATAGAGGCTCCCTTAGTTCTTCTATTGTTGGATTTATTGATGGGGTTCCTCTTGAAATCACTAAGAAACTATTAAAAGGCATTGAGGTTTGATGCCCCACTGACCCTCTGATACTTAAATTAGTGATTCTCTGAGAAAGTGGGAAATCTAATCAAAATGAGAATGAAATTAGATTTGGTTTTTCTTATCATTGTTAGCTCTTCTTATAATTCGGAAGCGTAGATTAGAGAGAGCAAGAAGTTACTGTGGCATTATCAAGTTAGCTTAGATAATGTTGTGCGCATCGAAAATTTCGGCAGTACCTCTGTTGCACAATAAGAGAGTAAGATCACAACTAAATCCTTGTTTCACAAAGAAAACAAGAATCGAAAGTAATATATCTCAACAAAGTGGGATATACACTCTTCCTCTCATCAGTTCTAGGACTGACTTGTCGAGGGAACCTACAAGCTATTACAAATCACAGCAAGACAATAAATTTTACGTGGTTCGCTCAAAAAAAAACACTGTAGTTTTTCGTCTGCGTTTTCCTCCCCGCACCAAGCCTTAAAAAACCTAGGAACAATCATCCCTATTTATATCCTGGCCCCACATTGAAAAACGCGTCCTGTGATAAAAGGCATTGGAGTAGCCCCCACGCGCTTAGTACTCCATGCGGTTTTCCCCCACGTTCATGGATATGTGGCCCCACGTGACGCGTGAAAAAAAACACGTTCATAATTCTCCACCTCGGTGAAGTTTAACTAATACTGAGCCGACACCAACCAAACCAAATATATCACTTGTTGTGTCCAGTATGAAGTAAAACGATTCACAACAACGGACTCAATCCACAACAAGTCGAGAACCTAAATAAGAATGTGAACAAACTCTAAATATCAGTATCTACTCTCAAATCGGTTGCATCATAAAGACTGCCTACGTATCCTCTTTCCCAATGAATCAAGCCTCACATAGTTCATCCAATGGCCTCCAAAAGCCTCAACACCGAAGAATGTTCAAAAGCTCCAAACAATGACCAAACTTCACACCTGAAACAACTTTGGTCAACATATCTGCAGGGTTATCCTTCGTGTGGACCTTCTCCAATATGACGTCTCCATTATCCATAATGTCACGAACAAAGTAGAATCTGACATTGATGTGCATCATGCGCACATGATAAACCTGGTTCTTCGCCAAATAGATAGCTGACATGCTATCAAATTATACCCGAATGGTCTCCTGTGCAATTCCCAAGTTCTCCAATAATCCATGCAACCACAAAACCTCATTAACAGCTTCAATCACCGCCATATACTCCGCCTCTGTAGTAGAGAGAGACACTATAGACTGAAGTATACATCTCTAACATACCGGATCTCCTGCCAATGTAAACACATATCCTAAAGTAGACCGGCGCTTGTCAAGATCTCCAGTATAATCTGAATCCATGTAACCAATACAATCATGCCCATTCTTCTCATCCTTCTGGAAAATCAATCCAATATTCATGGTGCCTTTAACATACCGTAGAATCCACTTTACAGCTTCCCAATGATCTTTCTCGGGGTCGTGCATGTACCTCGATATCATGCTCACGGCCTGTGACAAATCTGGTCTCATACACATCATCGCATACATAAGGTTACCTACTGCACTGGCATATGGGACCCTCGACATAAAATCTCTGTCCTTAACTGAAACAGGTAATATACTAGCTGAAAACTTAAAGTGGGGAGCTAATGAAGTGCTAACTACTTTTGCATTGCCATCAAAACTGAATTTCTTCAACATCTTCTGCAAATAGCTCTTCTGTGTAAGCTTCAATCTCCCCTTCACCCTGTCTCTCTCAATCTCCATATATAATATCTTCTTTGCTTCTCTAAGATCTTTCATCTCGAACTCGGATGACAGCTGCTCTTTCAACTTTCGAATAGCCGAAGAATTCCTGGAAGCAATAAGCATATCGTCAATATATAAAAGAAAATATATGTGTTCACCATCCTGTAGCTTGTGCATGTAAACACATGAGTCATATGGGCTCCTCGTGTACCCCTAGCCAATCATGAAGCTGTTGAATCTTTTGTACCACTATCGCGGCGATTGTTTCAATCCATAAAAAGACTTCTTCAGCTTGCAAACCAAATATTTTTTTCCTACAGCTTTGAATCCCAAAGGTTGTGTCATGTAGATCTCCTCATCTAAATCTCTGTGTAGAAAGACTATCTTCACATCCATCTGGACCAAATCCAAATCCAGATGTGCCACCAATGCTAATAAGATCCGAATCGACGAATGCTTCATAACGGGTGAAAATACCTTGTTGTAATCAATGCCCTCAAGCTGTGCATATCCCTTGGCAACCAATCTAGCTTTGAACCAAATGTCCCCAATAGAAGATCCCTCCTTCTTCACATATACCCACTTACAATTAATAGCTTTCTTACCCTTAGGTAGCTTTGCAAGTTCCCAAGTGTCGTTCTTCTGAAGAGATTACATCTCCTCCTCCATAACTTCCCTCCACCTGATTGAATCGGGGCTAGACTCTGCCTCCCAAAATATGGTTGGAACAATATCATCAATGACCTCCACTGATAATACATATGCGGTCATGATATCATTATACCTAGCTGGCCGATGAATCATCCTTCTAGGTCTATTCGCTACAATAGACTCCTGAACATGATCTTGCTCCTGAGTCTCATAATCCACTGTATTCTCTATCTGCCCGGCTATCATCCCATCTTTTCCCAGTGTCACCTCTGTAGGAGCCTCGATAGATACAATGTTCTTTGGAGTAAGTGGAGTCATATCATCCTCCACTTGCTGCGATATCTCCCAAATCTGGTCTTCCTCCACCTGCTGAGGAACTTGAGGCTTTATCATGTACGCCTCGTCAAATGTGACATCCCTACTAATAACTATCTTCTTATCCTGTGGATCCCATAACTTGAAGCTTTTAACTCCATCTCTAAATCTTACAAAGGCTGCTTTCCTCGCCCTCGGATTTAATTTATCATCACTGATATGGTAATAAGCAGGACACCCAAATATCCAAAGCGACTTATAGTCACTAGCTACTGAACCAGACCAACGCTCCAACAAAGTCTTTCCCTGTATCGTAGTGCACGACAACCTATTCACGAGATGGTTCGCATAAACCAACGCCTTGGTCCAAAAGGATTTAGGCAATCCACTCTGCGTCATCATACATCGCACTTTCTCTAGTAAAGTATGGTTCAATCTCTCAGCCACCCCGCTTTGTTGCGGTATCTGTCGAACTGTGAAATGTCGTCTAATGCTATGATCCCAAAAAAACTACAGAAACGGATCACTCGTATACTCTCCAGCGTTATCTGAACGTAGAGTCTTCACATTTCTACCTGTCTGCAGCTCCACTTTCTTTTTCTCAATCCACAAAAATATCCAGGACCTCATGTTTATGCTTCATAGGTATACCCAATTCCTCTTAGAATAGTCATCAATAAAAGTGACAAAATAGTTGGCCCCACCAAGTGATGTGTTCTTAGAAGGACCTTAATTATCTGTATGAATATAATCCAATGTACCTTGGGTGTTGTGAATAGCGGTGCCAAACTTCACTCTAGTCTTCTTCCCAAGTACACAATGCTCACACAGCTCCATCTTGCAGGTCTTAGCACCTTTTAATAGTCCCTATTTCACCAATGATTGCAGGGACTTATCTCCTATGTGTCCTAGTCTCATGTGCCATAATGTGATAGTGTCCTCCTCTATAGTGATAGAAGCTGCCAGACCCCCTGTAACTGTCTTACCCTTCAAGTAGTATAGGAAGTTTTCCCTGACTCCTCGCATCACCACCATAGAACCCTTCGTGACCTTCGCTGTAGCATCCTCTAAGGTCACCCGATAACCAGCTACCTCCAAAAGTACCAAGAGAAATAATGTTCTTCATCAACTGCGGCACGAACCTCACTTCTTTCAATTCCCTCACTACTCCGTCATGCATCCTAATCCAGACTGAACCAATACCACCAATAGGGCATACGTGGTTATTTTCCATAAGCACGACATCCCCTCTTTCCAGCTCCTCAAAGCTAGAAAACCAATCCCTACTAGGGCATATGTGATATGTGGCTCCTGAATCCAACATCCACTCCGTGGAGTCGGCATAGCAAACCGATGGTAGTGCAGGTTACGAATAGCCCGAAGAATCTGACTCTGAATGTTCATCAATAGCTTTTGTAACATTCACTTCTGAAGCTTGTACAGCTTTTTCCTTGTTCTTCCCGGCATTTTCCTTCCACTTTGGCCAGTCAATCTTCCAATGTCCTTCTTTTTTATAATACCGACATTGATTTCTACAAACACT